TAAACCTTCGTTCATTTCACTTCTGAAAGTCTCAAATATTATCGGTTATTTATGGAACTCTCACATTTCAATTGGTCGTTGTTTATTTATTATTTGTTAAGAATTGGTCAAGACTTAGTCGAAATCTTTCGTCGTCTTTTTATATCTAATTCTGATGTTTTATATTTTGAACTTGAATAAACAGTTTGTTTCACAGGCAAGATTAAATGATATTTAAACGGTGGGTTTATTGTGTTGGTTCATTAAATTTCCTATAAGAATATCCTAATCAACGACGGTATTATAAATTTGTACGAATCTGGTGTTGGAATCTGAATGTCCCTAGTAAAAAAGCGGTAAATTCAGAAAGACCTGAGACGACAGTTAAAAACTAGTGACGACTGATTTGACTGAAAAATATAGGAAGAATTTCTCCACATTTCGCTAATCCCCAGGTTTGAAATGTACGATAACTTGACGCTCAAAATCAGTGAGTTATTTAGCCATACGCGAAGGACAGAACGAAAGACGAAGGTTGTCTGCAAATAACATTTAAATGACGAGTCGATCGATCGAGCAGCAATTAATCATAAAAGAACCAATCAGAGTTGAGTAATTACGCGAGAGTTGAATGATTATTCAAGGTCATAAATAGTCAAGAAATATATTCAAGCTTATTCAAGGTCGTGAAAGTAAGAACAGTGATAAGAAATTTTCCGCTTTTTTTTTTTTTTATTGGGCACCTGGTATTTGGTTGAAGCGAATAAATATTTTGAAACATATTCGACTGTAAATTATCATCAGGAAACAGCAATGAAGAAAACAAGTTCAAATTTTAGCCGAAGCTGTTTATGTTCACTTCACAATAAGATCATTGAAAAAAGCATGAAACCACATTCCCCTGCACTCTGTTTCACCATCCTAGAAAAATAAGCTCTATTCTTGAGTCCTACCAGTTCAGACCTTTATAACGAGGCCACTCCTACAGAGTTGAATCATCCTCATTTCCTCTGCGTTCGAATGGTAAGAAAAAAGAACTGCCACTTCTACTCTAAAGCATAATGTGCTTTCCTGAACGTTACGTTCTTATCCTCTTCAACTCAAAGTTCAATCGTAATTCTTTAACTTGAGAGGCTCTCGGGCATTGTATTGGGTGAATTTCAGTATAGGAAAATCTTGACAAAATAGTCACGTCACTGGTATCATGCTGTGATTGACAGAGAACTAGATAAGAGAGCATTTGGGTAAACCAATCATCCATAACCACTATAAATACCTAGACAATATTACAAAAAGGCTGTTACTGCTATAGTCAACCTTGACAGTCGCTACAAGGAAATAACAAAAGGTCATATTACAGGTGGTTGATAGAAGGGGGTGTGTATGTGAGCTTAGGGGGATGCACTCATTTATAACCACTTTTATATACCTAGTAAGGAAAGGCTGTTACAGCTATAGTCAACCTTGACAAGTGTGCGGTCATTATCAAGAAATAACAGATCCCTCTGACAAAATGTTTACGATATCTTTTAAATTGGTGCTGACATTAGATGTTTGTGCAGTCTGAGAATAAATTCCCCACGGCGAAATGAAATTCAAGACGAACAATGCAGGTTGAGCCAAATATTTTAGATTAAACCATTTTCTCAGTGGTTGTCCTAAACAATTCACATTATAATGATGATTATTCAAAAAGTATTTAGTACACACCGAATATAAGAGGGTCACGTATATATATATATATATATATATATATATATATATATATATATATATATATAGGATATATATAGGAATGTAGGATAAAAAATGTACGTACACGGACAAATACTTGCACGTACCTAGGTATATTTATTCCTCAGGTGTTCTAAATAAAGTGCTCAATGTTGTGAAATGAGCTATTAAGTATATATTATTGTATATACATAATATCCAACGTCGATAGCACAACTCAGAGTTTCATGAAGTTAATTCTAACAGTTTTCATGTCTGAAGATTGCGTTAACTGCATAAAACTCCGACTAGTATTATCGACGTTAGATATTATGCATATTCAGTAATATTAATAATAATAATAATAATAAAAAGGCTTAAACACTAATATTCCATGGTCATAATTTATTCTATTGGAATAGTAAATACGATCCAATTCATCAGACCGACAGTCTGATGAATTGGATCGTTTTACTATTCCAATGGAATAAATTATGACCATGGAATATTAGTGTTTAAGCCTTTTTATTATATCATTACTCTGCCTTGGACATTGAGTTCTACCTGGATTCTATCCTCTTGGAATTATTTTTTATACATATATATATGTATGTGTATCGATGTATGTATGTATGTATGTATATATATATATTTATATAGTTTAGATTTATGATTGCATATGTATGTATATATTAACCACTAATATCTATCTATCTATCTATCTATCTATCTATCTATCTATCTATCTATCTATATATATATTCATACATACAAATGTAAAAGAACGAAGAGTAAGATTTCATCGTTC